TGCTTTGTGCCCTATGATGTGGTCAATCTTTGAAAAGGTTCCATGTCGGGGTGAGAGAAAAGTGTATCTCGTGGTTTTTGGATGGAAAGACATCCTGACAGGAAACCCACGTTCTCTGGGTAAGAAAACATCATCTATTACTCACAGAATCACAATGCCAGTTCCCCACATCCCAGTTCTCCACAGAGCGATGTGACGAGAGCTAGATATTTACCTGCACCATGATGGGCTTACATCACAGGCACGACCTTGAAATTAGGAGATTTGGGGGGTATATAGGGTGGTTGGCACTTTGGTACATCTCTCCCCCAATAGAGAGATCTTTACTATGGAGGCAAATGTCTCCAGGAGAAAGAAGAAAGGTGTCATTATGCTTTATTACCCTAGAAAACAAGCAAACGACTCCTGACGGAATAAGCCCCTAAACCTCTCTGGAGAAATACACTAACCTCCAATGCGTATTTGCCATTCAATCATCTTTTAACCTAGTTTCCTAGTGCTTTTTGCATAGAAAGCCTGAACTGTGCAGAAATGCGAAAGTATTCATATATAATGGTCTCCCAACGGTTGTTTTTTTAGAGAGATTTTTGCTATAGGGCACGTGTGCTTGCCAGAGAGACAGAGAGAGATAGAAAGCAAGAAATCACCCCCCTGGGGGGATGGCCACTCCATAATCACTTCTTCTCCATTCTCCTCTCAGAATTTTAGGCATTCATTCATGTACGTGCCTGGCGTGAGTTTCTAGCCACCGGATCCAGGAGTCAAACCACAGTCAATAATGTGGAAGTCCAGCAACGTAACCATTATAGCATCTGCTGGTCCCTCCCAACAGTTGTTTTAATCAAATAAATTATAAATTCTGAGAGGGAGGTGTGAGGAAGAGGGAGATGGGATTTACTAGATAGTGTAAAACCTAGAAGTTGTTCTCTTAGAAAAACATCAGACTGTCCCCCCAAATCCCACCCACCACTACAGCTTAAAGTTGAAACCAAAAGCTCCAGTGTCTCCTGAGTCAAAGCAGGTTACATGAGTGGATGAAGTGGCACAGGTGGGAACAGGGGATTGAGATGGTGCACCCCAACTGACAGGCTGTCATTATCTCGCTCTAACTGATGCCGTCCAGTCTAGACAGAGAATACTGTACTGCTACATCTTCCTCTTGTCAAGAGAAGCCAGAGAGTTGCAGATATTACATAAAATCTTTCTGCCCCTACTTTTTGTTTTTTAATGCCATGAGGACCAAACAAAATATGTCAGTACCTCCATTTCAGCCTCAGGCTGTCATCTGGAAATTTCACTTGGAGAGAAACAGACTCTTCTGAGATATAACACAGGCAGAGACACCAATCTCAGGTGAAAAATAGTCTCCTAAGAAGAGGATTCCAATAAGAGGGGGCATAGGCATTCCCCTTAGTCACAGCTGGCCAAGGTAGTCTTCCTCTTAACCCTTCATGCACGTATTCAACAAATGTTTAATTGCTAGAGGGCGGGTGTGCTTGCCAGAGAGAAACAGACAGAGAAAGGGAGAGGGATAAACTGCCCCCAGTAAGATGAAGTAACACAACAGTCCCTTCTCTTCCACTTCTCCACCCTGTTGGGATTTGGAGCACACATGCACATGCGCCCAGCATGTTTTTCCAACCATCAGGGCCAGGATATGAATTATGATTGGCCATGTGGTATCTAGTTTCCTTAACCATCAGGTCACAAGGTTGCCCTTAAAGATCTCTTAGTTGTGAATAGCAAAGAAAAAAATCTTTGCTCTCATGGAGTTTGCATTCTAAAAGTTGAGATTCCTTGTTGAATAGACAGTAGAAGTTAATTCAGAAACACAACTGAATATAATTTATAGTTTGGTTCATATGGATACCCTCCTGAGTTAAAAATTTTTTTCAGGAATTATTATTGATACCTGTATAGACACTATGTAGATTTGGTCTGGAATCAGGTGGAGTGGAAAGAAACTCAAATAGTTCTTTTGAGAACATAGACATAAGAATTTCCTGGTAGGTGATTTGTCAGTATGTGTCAAAGGCCTTTTTAAATGTGTAGAAAAAGGGCCAGCAACTCCCGTGATGGCTCAGGTGCTGGATTCCACATGGTGGACTGCGCAGTTCGAATCCCAGAACCAGTAGTTTGAGAAACACACCAGGTGTATGTATGCTTGCCCTAGGTTCCAGGAGGAGGACAGAGGAGAAGGGATTGTGGCATGGCAATACTCCCTGGAAAGTGGTTTCTCACTTTCCTTTTCTCTGTCTCTCTCCAGTGAGCACACATGCCCTATGGCTAAGGAAAAAAAAAAAGGTTGAATGTACAAACTGATTTGGAGCACACATGCACATGCGCCCAGCATGTTTTTCCAACCATCAGGGCCAGGATATGAATTATGATTGGCCATGTGGTATCTAGTTTCCTTAACCATCAGGTCACAAGGTTGCCCTTAAAGATCTCTTAGTTGTGAATAGCAAAGAAAAAAATCTTTGCTCTCATGGAGTTTGCATTCTAAAAGTTGAGATTCCTTGTTGAATAGACAGTAGAAGTTAATTCAGAAACACAACTGAATATAATTTATAGTTTGGTTCATATGGATACCCTCCTGAGTTAAAAATTTTTTTCAGGAATTATTATTGATACCTGTATAGACACTATGTAGATTTGGTCTGGAATCAGGTGGAGTGGAAAGAAACTCAAATAGTTCTTTTGAGAACATAGACATAAGAATTTCCTGGTAGGTGATTTGTCAGTATGTGTCAAAGGCCTTTTTAAATGTGTAGAAAAAGGGCCAGCAACTCCCGTGATGGCTCAGGTGCTGGATTCCACATGGTGGACTGCGCAGTTCGAATCCCAGAACCAGTAGTTTGAGAAACACACCAGGTGTATGTATGCTTGCCCTAGGTTCCAGGAGGAGGACAGAGGAGAAGGGATTGTGGCATGGCAATACTCCCTGGAAAGTGGTTTCTCACTTTCCTTTTCTCTGTCTCTCTCCAGTGAGCACACATGCCCTATGGCTAAGGAAAAAAAAAAAGGTTGAATGTACAAACTTTTCACCATACACTCACTAAAATGACAGCAAAGATCTTTTATGTATATATATGTCTACACATATATATACACACACATATATTTTAATTTATTCATTTATTTTTTTAATAGGAGGGGCATAAAGAGTGGTATTTGGAGGGGCAGTTTCTCACCATGTTGTGATGGTTTTGCCCCAGCCTTCCTGTTAGCTAGGATTACAGGAATGTGCTACCACACCCTGTTTACGCTGGCCTGGGAACCAAACCCAGGCCTCATGTGGCTCCAGCCTTGCACAGCGGTACCCAACACTACCATGGCTGGGCTGACTGTAAAGGAATTTTCTCAGTAACAGTCGTAAATAAGGACACGTTTAATCCAGAGGGTAAAACTGCAGATGAATTATGTCGATAACATTTTAGACAGTGAAAACTGTGTAGATGAACAATAACTGGTTATAGTTGTCAGCTTTCTCTGTTCTGCTCAGTGCTTGTAGGGGGAGAACTCAACAAGAAATAGTAACTGCAGGGAAGAGCTAGAATTTAAGATACCCGGTTCCTCTGCAGGGTGAGACACCAGAGAGTTGTTCATAAATCCATATATATTCCCGACTTCCTGTCCTGCCCCATTAGCTAGGAATTTTCCTCTCCTTTCCTGTCAGATGGCTGGAAGAGTACTCTCTGCATAGCTTGAAACAAAGATAATAAGGTTTGAGGTGCAGCTGGGAGCAGAAATGGGGTGCTGGAGTGAAAATAAAAGGATTCAGCAAAATCTTCATACTGGGATTCCCATCATCTTCCTGGGAACTCCCCTGCCTCCCTGCTGTGTTAAATCCCCATATACTAGACATATGATTAACCCTTCCTAGGCTCACACTATCATTTAGTAGGACATATTTTCCTGTAACTTCCTAGAAAAGGGTACAAAGAGTACACAGTGCAGAGTGGAATCAGAGTGAAGAAGGACCCTTTACCAAAAGGAACCAGTGGATTACCTGATACATAATTGCCTGTATTATAATCATGTTATGGTGGGCCAGCAGGTGCATGGTGGCTGAGGGGGCTAGATTCTACATGGCCAACTATATGATTTGAGTCCCAGATTCAGTGGCTTGAAAATTATGCCAGACATGTGTGCATGCATGCCCAAAATTCCAAAAGGAGAATGAAGTAGAAGGGATTGTGGCATGGCCATCCTCCCTGGAGGGTTCTCTCTCTCTCTCTCTCTCTCTCTCTCTCTCTCTCCAGCAAACATGTGTGCCCTATGGCAAAAAAACAAATACAAAAACCTAACCACTCTCATATATATAGATGCAAAAAAAAAAAAAAAAAGCTTATGTTATAGGTCCATTAGAGAAAATGAGGATGAATTGGTTACAGATAAACAGATAGATATAATGAAATGAAGTAGTTAATAATGCTGGAATAAACACAACATCTAAAAAGAAGGAAATGTAACCAGCATACTGTGGGACTCAGCTACAAATAGTATTTTACTGTGGGGCTCAGCTACAAATAGTATTTTACCTGGTATATGAATAGGGACATTGGATATTGATTGCGGCGTGGCCATACCCCCTAGGGGGTAATTTCTTGCTTTCTGTCTCTCTGTCTTTCTGGCAAGTGCACGTGCCCTATAGCAAAAACTTCTCCAAACACACACACACACACACACACACACACACACACACACACAAACCAGGCAAGGGAGTACACTGTAATCCCAGGTACTTGGAAGGCTGAGGCAGGAGGATCATGAGTTCAAGGCCAGACTAGGCAATATAATGAGACCTTGTCTCTAAACAAATAACAAATAGTAACACACACACATGGACCCACACCGATTGGGAAGATTGTGTGTGAGGACAGTGATGTAAAAGTATCAAATTCTAATAGATAAATTCTAAATTGAACAATCAGTAAAGATCATTAGAAACATGATATTTAGGAATATGAAAGTATATGCTACTAATCCTCTTCCCTCATACTTGCCCCCCCCCCCCCCCCCCACTCTGTTCCAGTTACTCTGGCTTTCTTGTGTCATGGAACATTCTTCTCTGAAATAGATATACGACTGTTCTCTCTACTTTTCAGACATTCACTCAACTTACGTTCTCAGTAATCCTATCTTTCACTCACCCTATTTAAAATGTCAAACCACCTGCTATGTTCTGAATGCCTGGGTCCTCCCAACCTCCAAAATTATATGTTTAAATTTTAACTCCCAAGGCAATAGTATTAATATGTGCAGCCTTTGGGATTAGATCATGAAGGAGGAGCCCTGATGAATGGGTTTAGTGTCCTTATAAAACAGGCTTGACAGGCCAGACCACTGTGTGGTGGTTAGGAGGCTGGATCCCACCTGGCCAATGGCATGGTTCAAGTCTTGGACTGATGGCTTGAGAGACATATTGGGAGCGTATGTGTACATGCGTCAAATCCCAAAAGGTGGGAGAAATGAAGGAGAAGGGATTGCAGCATGACCACTGCCCATGTGGGAGTTGGGGGGAGGGAGTGCTTTCTCCATCTCTGTCTCTCTTTCTCTCTCTGGCAAGACTGCATGCCTCTGGCAAACTTAACAAATAAAAAAAGAAATTAAAGAGGCCTAGTAAGCCCCTCTCACCAGGTGAGGATATAGCAAAAAGGCCCCCTCAGTGAATCAGAAAAGGGCCCATCACAAACAGCACATTTTCTGGCACCTTGATCTTGGATTCCCATATTTTACAATAGTAAAAGGTAAGTATCTGTTGTCTAGAAACTACCAGTTTATGGTATTTTGTTAAAGTAGCCAAAATGGACTAAGATACCACCCTATCCTTTTTCCCTGTTTATTTCTCTCCATGGCATCTATTTTACTTGTTTGCTAGTTTATTGTCTGCCCCCCCACAAACACACACACATCTTTAAAACAATGTAAATTCCACAAGGGTAGGCTTAGTGTTTATTTTGTATCTCTACCATTTAGAACAGCACCTAGAATAATAGATAAATATTTGTTAACCCAAGCCATAAAGGAATCCCTGTGGAATTAAATGTTCAACTTACCTTCAGATTTTCTTTCTTGACCATTCAGGAAATGGGGAGTAACTTCTCTGGTTATAGAGTTGGAGATATTTGGTTCTAAACAAGGTGTTGGCAACAAAAAGTCCAAGTTCATGTTGCTTAGCTCCTTGACATGTTCCTCTTTCTTCTTCAGTAAAGGCTGCATGGTCAGTGTCTTTGTCTGAAGGTTCATCATTTCAGTTTCTTTTGGAAGAGAAACAGAATGGGCTCGTGCCCATTCTGGATTCAGTAAAGCTATCTGACTAAAAAAGGAAGAAGAGCAAAATAATTTGATTTAAAATTCACTCACCAAGTCTTCTGGATCTCCAATTCTCTGACCAGTCTGACATCACTGGAAAGTTTGGAGATCTATTTCCAAATAGTATAGCTGAATGGAATGGCTGTATCCTGGGAAGATAAGACTTCTCTACCTTCTGACTGGCTCTCTACCCTCTCTGCCCTCCACACCCCATACCGTCACCTGGATGCATTAGATTTCTGTCCACTTTAGTTTTCCCAGTCCCTGCTTTCTTGAGCAGAGAAACTAGAGACAAAGGGCAGGCATGGAGGAGCACTCTTTTTATCTCTATGGTCATCGAAATGGGCATTGACTAACCCAGTGCTTCTCAAGCTATCTTTGGCAAAGGACCAGTTTTAAATGTTCTAACCCACTGTAGACTAACACTTCTGTAAAATATAATTTAAAAAAATGTCAATAACAATGAAAGAAAAATCAAGAACATGCAGAAAATAAATCCCACATTTGTTTTAAACTTTGTCAGAGGACATATGTGTCTGCCAGAAAGAGACAGAGAGGAATAGGGAGAAAGTACCCTCCATGGGAATGGTCACACTGCAATCCTTTCTCCTCCATATCTCTCACCTTCTAGGATTTGGGGCATGCATGCACACATGCCTGTCATGTTTTTCAAGCCACTGGGTTCAAGATTCTAATCACGGAGTCAGCCATATTGAATACAGCTGCCTTAATCACCAACCACAAAGCTGGCCCAAGCCCTACTTTTACACTATCCAATCAATTAACATAAAATTACTAGATCAGGGGACCAGCAGTTGGTGTAATGGCTATGTCACTGGACTCCCACGTGGTGGATGGGGATTCAAGTCCTAGACCCAGTGGCTTAAACTCACAACGGGCACGTGTGCGTGCGTGCCCAAGATCCCAAGAGGAGAATGGAGGAAAAGTGATTGTGGTGTGACCATCCCCCCCGGGGGGTGATTTCCCGCTTTCTGTCTCTCTTTTTCTGGTGAGCACACACATCCTATAATAAAAACCTCTCAAAAAAAAAAATTACGAGGACAAATTGCTACACAACATATTACATGATTATCTTCAAGTTCTGTACTGGCCTGGGCATGTGGTACTAGCAATAGTACTACAGAACCACACTTTGAGTAGCACTGCTTCAGAGCAGGCCAATTAGCCATGGCCTTTGTTTTTATAGGTGTTTGGGGTTTTTTTGAAAGAGATTTTTTTCTATAGGGTGCATGTACTCATGAGAGAGAGAGAGACAGAGAGACAA